CGTAATATAGAGGTGTCCGTAATATAGAGGTGCTCGTCGGCTAGAGGAGCCGGTCTAATATAAAGATGATAATATAAGGGTGTTCGTAATATAGAGGTGTCCGTAATATAAAGGTGTCCTTAGGATAGACATGCCGGCGTAATATAAAGATGTCGCTGATATAAGGGTGTTCGTAATATAGAGGTGTCCGTAATATAGAGGTGTCCTTAGATTAGACGTACCGGCGTAATATAAAGATGTCGATAATATAAGGGTGTTCGTAATATAGAGGTGTCCTGGATAAAGTGTAATATAAAATGGTTGATAGTATAACGGTGTCTGTGATATGGAGGGGGACGCATTTTAGAGGTGTCCACAACATGAAGGATTCTGTAAAGTTGTTATGCCCGTAATGTAGGGGTGTCCGACTTAGGAAGTAACGTAGTTATTCGTTACCATTCTCCTTGACTTTTTCTACCTGGCGGTCGTTTTCGAACGAGCGGAAGACTGAGGCRTCGCATGGTTTCATTGATGGCGATCTAATCGAGAGTTTTTTGGATTTACCACGTGCTAAGATGAAGGAAGTGACGTCAGGTCTACAGGTATGGYCATAGTTCAATGCATTGTTTTAAACATCCGTTATTATTTTKGRCCATAGACYTTTTCTGAAATAMMAAATCATGRTGCATTGYGGYCTAGCTTCAGYACAAACAACGCCATATTTGGCARCATGAACWAAAGATGTTTGTACCGAATCTAGACCAAAATGCAATGCAAACTGCTATCTCAGAAAAGGTATCGCYAACTTTTTAGCTACAAAAACGCTTGACTAATGAAATTCCAAAAAATATAAAGAGATGTTATTCCCRGAATCTAAATATTGGATTATTGTGAGATGGTCAATATTAGCCGCGTTACAGACCAGTTTGTATAATAATTTCAGTCTTTCAGTTTCTTTTTCTTTTTCTTTCGCTGTTTTTTTTTTTTTTTTTTTTTTTTTTTTGACGTGTTAATGTTTATTAGTTTAAATTTTGAATAAAATTGTTGTCTTGACAACCTGTCATCAACTTTTCAGATCGACGGCGACGACGGCAGCAAGAAGGAATGCACTGTCGATGACCTCGTYAAAATTGTSGAAGAACTCACAAGAATCCACTAAAAACTATATMACAATAGCCAGCGGTCTTCATAAATAAAGGGAGACCGCAATACATTAGCTCAGCGGTTAATGTAGTCGGAGCAGTCTCTGTCGTTTCATCCAGAAAACGTCAAAAATGGACAAGTATAATCACCCGACTGTAAAGAGTTTTGAAAAAGCTGACTACAACAAATGATGGCTACACAGGCTTATAGAAACATTGTGCAAAGGTACCATTTTGTTCAGCATAGCATTGATGGTAGTTGTAGTATTCGCACTGATTATAAGAGAGTTTTTGATTCACGTTTACTGCAAACGCCAAACGTCAAATTATCGTTTATGCTTTGTAACAAAATTTTAAACGAACGTAAAAACGCTTCGAAAGGAATAGTGATGCGCTTATGCACAAAAAAGTGATCTATTTTATACACAATCGCGAAAGAACKGAGCGTTWAWYACAGAAAAACAGTGATCACGTGATCAGTTTTGACGTTTGGCGTTCGCCTTAAACGCGTATCTAARACTCTATAGACAATAAGATATCTCCCTAAAAGCCGAGATGTTCTCTTTGTAGAAACGGCACAACTGCTTCTATGTTTGCAAAGAAAAAGCAAAATTGCTTATGAGGAGTGTTTTTTTCTTAAAAGAGAACATGAAAAAGACCGAGGACTACACCTCCCATCATGCTTTGCAATACAACATTGGTGCGCACGCTTCCCTTCATGCATGTACTCAGAATTTTTGTATTCGTGTAGTACATTGCTACGCACTCRCCAACGAAGTTATTATCTTATCAAATAGTTTTCCACTACGGAAMAGTTGTTTTTCTTTGTAAGTCCCAATGGAAAATAGTCTCCACTACGGTTCCCTGCGCCTTCTTGAAATGTAGCCGTGGCTTTGCATCAAAGCAAACGACAGTTGAGCGTGCAATGATAGAAACCTTTTTTCACACCTACAGACAATTATTCACAGATGTCTATCATTGCACGGTCAATGGTCGTCTCGCTTCGATGTAAAGGCACGGCTACCTTTCAAGATGGCGACGTAACCGTGAAGGAGACTATTAGATGATTCAACCTCTAAAGAGGTTACTGAATTTCGCTTTGAGTTAAGTCGAGTTTTTAATGTAAATATTGTAAGTTGTTGTAATGACTGTGAACTAGTAAAATATAATATTGAATTAGTTTCGTGTTTGGTTCTTAATCGGTTCATTTACTAGTCGATTGATTGACTGAAGTCAAAAGAAATAGATGTATGTAGAGAGAGATGGATAGATGGTTGAACGGGTTGCTTCTGTGGAAACTGGTGCTAATATAAGGCAGAGCACAAATTACGTAATTGAATAGAATTAAAAGATGACCTGCAAGCCTAACAGTACCTCGAAATACGCAGACGCAATCGTAGTAAAAGTGATTGCCGTGTCAACTTAAAGTTTCCTGTCCCTCTACAGGAAGCCCGACAAAATGGGAGGCTGCGAAGGAGACTAGATAAATGAATGAATAAGTGATTCGATTAACGAATCCTTTAACAAGAGTCTGAGTCGAGGAAATTTTAATGCCTTCGAGGTTATGACAAAGAATCATTAGCGTATAAAYAGTCAATTGGTCGATTGATTGGTTGGCAGGAGTACATTGATGTTTGTGATWGATTGATTCACGATAAATTGATCACAACACTTTATTTTGTTCTCAGCTAACTTTATTTTATCTGCCCCAATACCGCAGACATTCTTTACTGTCATTCTCTWSCGCYAATCAAGCATAAATGTTAGAACTTGCTTGYGTATCTTTATCAGCATATTTCTCGTTCATCACATCGGGGTCAGGATCGTTCAGYCTTCCCCAGTTATACTTCTTGGTACTCATAACCTCTTCCGGCTTAACTCCGCCACATGCTTCGTACTCCCGATAAACGTCCGCTACTCCTTCSGCCTGCTTTTTGTATTCTTCGTTATTCGTTGYTTTGTAGCCTTCGAGAAGRGATTCTTTCATATTGAAATAGTTCCAATCTGCGCGGATTTTGTATACATATATTGCACTCTTATCCCGGTATTTCTGGGCCTTTTGGTTCTTGGGATCTTTGGCGCTTGTTATTATTTTCTTCGCCCACTCGACGGCTTTTGCTTCTTCGGAAGACGTCGAAACAAACAGTGAGTCGTGTTTCGGGCCGTAGTGAGTCGAGACGCCGCTCGTGTGCTCGACGAGGTTGTCGTTTTTGCCAAGACATTTGAAGCCTTTTGTAAAGACATCGTTTAATGGCTCACGGAAGTCGGCCCTGTAAACGAACTTAGGTGGTGCTCCAGTCACGACCGCTGGACCTTAAAATTCAAATCAATGGCTATGACGTCATGTCTCTTTTGGCCAAGTGCATCATGGTATTGATAAAATAATCAAGATGGCGGACGTCTCGAACATTCTAAAAAGGGCCAMGTTTCTTTGCAAAAYTAACGTTATCAGTTGTCGACAACACTTTGAAAGAACATTAAATAAGATGCTTACACACTAAAGTATGCTTCAAAACATTCTCGATACTGGTCAACTTTAATTTTGCAAAGAAACGCCTTCATTATAGTCCTTCGCAGGCTTTTTTAAGAAAAAAATATTTTATCAATACCATGATGCACTTCGCCAAACAGACATGACGTCATTAGGTATGGTCCTTTTTCGTAATGACGTAAMCGAAAAGCATCACGAAAAAACTTGGGTGTCTAACTTAAACAGACAAAGAACAGTGTTGACACTGATGGCCGTTTAATAAAATTACAAAAAAATATGTTTTGGTGATTCCCACATTTTAAACCGCTAAACAATCGAGTAAAGATTGATAAATTATTCTTACGGTGAAGGGATCTTCCGATTTTCGCACTTGTCGAGTTTTCCGCTTAAAACGAGCTATTCGTCTGAGTGGAAATTTCCGTCATTACTAAAAAAAATTCCGACTGTAAAAACGTTTTTTTAATCATACCTGAAAGACCATCTCTACATTTCGCTGCGCACGACCCTCCACCGCAGCACAAACCATCCTCATAGAGCTCCCCTTGATAAAATTGCGCCAAAATCAGCGAAAAATTCACTAAAAAAGCTAACGAAAGCAATCGCCAGAACATCGTCAACAACGATTACAGAAGCTCCTATCTGTCCTTGATAAGCTCTGACTACTTTCTGTGGTAAGAATCCAGTACAACGGCACTACTTGTAAACAAGTGGTCCTTGAGTGTACTTCTGATAACGTTTGTAAATTTTTCGAGTGACTTCAAGCGTTTAGTCTTACACATAAAGGCAAACATTTTGCCCCCCTCGTGTCAGTGAGCGTCCGCTTTGTATAGTGTGTTTTGCGTTGGATACAGTAGCCACCCTGTAAGATTCATTATCTACGTCCATGACCCTGCAAAATCCCTTTCAATCACTTGTACTACCAGCCCTTGAAAGTTTGTATGTAATAGATCAAGCATGTGCATTTGACAGTGTGTCAAACAAACACTAAGATCCGGATTGAAAACTGAGGTTTTTGCTGAGTATTTTTAAATCAATTCGAGGTATTTTGACACAGATCAAACTCCAGTGTGAGTATTTAATATCTAAGTCGCKGGTGATATTGAAAGATTTCAAAGCAAGAGCAGAACTATGWTTACTTAATTGAAATGTTTGGTTTATCAAATATCATRTTTCATTATAAGGTWAAGATGCCCAGAAGCATGTATTTCCCTCCCTCGGGCTTCCTTTCAAGCGCGCTCTACCTCATTTGCTCCCATTCTCTCTCTTTTTTAGTGTATGGCAGGAATCCCGTGACTCTTAGTGATGACTGGAGGACCTAATTACTCGCGCGAAAGACTCGAGTTATAACTTCAGTATCATTAGTGTTATTTTTTTTCCTTCAGCAACAAAATGACCAAAATCAGCGCATGCGTACGCAGCTATGATAGTAGTTGGCATGCGCACAATGAAATGTTGAACCGCACTGCAATAATGGTGGACAAGCGTTTAGAAAATGTGTGTTCAATTTGGGACGTTGCTTTTCCCAAACTTGGCGAGAGGTTACTTTACGAGCGAATATTACGAGAGAAAATTCTATCGTGAATAATTCTTTTACTGCTTTAAACTCAATATATTAAAAGTGCGAGTTCCYRCAGTTATGCGTCTAGTTCTTGTAATTGTACATTATCTTAAACAAATTTCAAGCGGCATAAATGAAGGAGTTTGCTTGCGTCTCTTTGTCAACATAWCCTCGGTTCTCCTCTTCATCAGATACCGGACCCGTCACTTCTGAATTCTTCCATGAATATTTCTTCGCACTAACAATCTCTTCTGGGTTTATCCCCCCACAGGCGTCATACTCCTTAAGCCCCCTCGCTACCTCCGCTTGCTGTCGATATTTATTATCGTTTGTTTTTCTGAAGCCTTCGCGAAGAGATTCTTCCATGTTGAAATAGTTCCAATCGGCTCGTACTTTATACAAGTAAATAGATTTATATTTCTTGTACTTTTGAGTTTTTTCATTTTTTGGATTGTGCGCTTCTTCGAGTAGTGTTTTTCCCCATTTATTGGCTTCCTGTTCATTGGCAGAAGTTGAGACAAAAAGTGTGTTTTTCTTGCCGTAGTGAGYAGAGAYWCCGAGTGTGTGTTCAACGAGGTTGTCGTTTTCACCGAGACATCCAAAGCCTTTTTGAAAGATTTCTTTTGGTTTTCGAAAGTCAGCCCTGTAGACAAACTTTGGTGGTTGAYCCGGTGCTTCCAATGGACCTGTTATTGAATGGATTTAAAGATTATTACARGCCTGGACTATTAGRTTTTGTTTCACGGGTTTTAATGTCTTCACTCTATTAGACTAATACACCTTAGTAGTCTCTAATTCCATTGTTTTCTTTTGTGTCTATTTGACTACTACACCTT